TACTTTTCTGCTTTTTTTTGGTGCGCAGTTCCTACCTCTGTGGTCTCTATTTTCAAAAGTATTTAGGTTTGAAAACCTGGTTCACTGTCCCATTTCTTTTTCATGAAACAAAGACAGTGGCATTTCCATTGTAGATGCAAATCCTCACTATTGGGAAATTTAGGACAACATACAGCAGCCTTCCTCACTGCTCCTGCACAAACCTATAAAAATCCATAGACCACAGGCTGTGGCTTTACCACATGCATCTCTGGTTATGAATATCTAAATCTCTCTGCAACTTAATACAACACTCTGCTATATACGTATATGTATAAATACTCTGAATTTGTGGGCACCTGCAATATATTTAAAGCATGTTGCAATATACTGCAATATATTTAAAGTATATTACAGTATGTAAGGCCAGGCTGGATGTGGCTCTGGGCAGCCTGGTCTGCTGGTTGCTGACCCTGCACATAGCAGGGGGTTGAAACTGGATGAGCACTGTGGTCCTTTTCAACCCAGGCCATTCTGTGATTCTATGATTCTATGTTCTTGTCCATATGAATTTTAATGGCTTATTATCCTGCAAATTTCCCATTTTGCCTCCAGCTTCCTATGTTACATTAGGTAACTTACGAGCAGACTGCTGACTTTTCAGCTTTTCTGAACAAGTGAGTTCTAACCTCTGTGGTGCCTATTTTCAAAAGTCTTTAGGTTTGAAAACCTGGTTCACTGTCCCATTTCTTTTTCATGAAACAAAGACAGCGGCATTTCCATTTTTAACACAAACATATCTATACTTCCTGATAAATGTATGTACGCTGCATTGAAATTGATGGCATTTAAATGTATAGCTGCAAGAAAAAGTAGAAAAACTCTACTGCCTATGGACTCTTACAGTAGTTTGTTGTTTTTTCTTTCAGTTTTGCATTGGCACATAAACACTGAGGCCAACACAATTGCTATAATGTAATTAGGAAGTACTTTGGTTCAGAATTGGCTTGCTACAATTATGCTTACTGCTGGTGCACAAACTATAGTAGTTGCAATGCGAGTAGGAAAGAAGGCCTGAGTGATGCCTCAAAACAGCACAGCCTTATGCTTTTGTCAGCCATTTTCCTTACAAGCATCAACAGCGTTGGTGGAAGACAACAATCAGCTGTAATTTGTCTTCATGTTTGCCTGTTGGAAGCTACTACCTCACAGAATCACAGATTCATAAATGATTGAACGGCTTGGTTTGGAAAGGACCTCAAGGATCATCAAGTTCCAGCCCCCCCTGCCACAGACTGCCAGACAAGTACTAGATCAGATTGCCCAGGGCTCCATCAAACATGGCCTTTTCTGTCCACCCGGTGTCAATCAAAGGGAGACAGATTTCCTAAATCATTTGGATAATAATTTAATGCAGCACAGTTTCAATGCCGGGCTGATAAGCACTAATTAAAACAGCTCTATTGGTGATGTTAAGCTGTGACCTCCAGCAGAGGCATTTGTGGGTACGTGCAGGCAAGGCAGATTTTGGGCAATGTGGATAAGATAAGTCTGACACCATTACTTGATCTTTCTTTAACTTTCCCTTGAGCATCCATAGTGAGGAGTGCAGTATATAAATGTGCCCACACCGAAGGCATTTGGGGTCTTGTCTGTCCCTTATGGGTCACATTGTGCTGTTAACTTCTGTGTAACTGAAAGAATGTATATGAAATTATTTTTTGTTCGAAGAGCTATTTCTGACTCCAGGTCTTCTGGATTGATCATAAAATAGTGATTGTTCAAAATGTTGTTTACTAAAACCAGTATTTCTTAGGAACATATTATCTTGGCCATATCATTTAAAATCTCTACTAATACACTGTGCTTTTGTGGTTGCTTCACAGTATCTGGAAACCTTCACGATCTTTGCACATATTTGGAAAGAGAAGTTATCACTGAGCTACAATGGGGGTTTTCAATCTCCTTACTTGCTATTTAGCTCAGCAAGGAGAGCACTATGTTTCTTTCACAGTTGGTGTGGCTGGAGGCTATTCTCTGAACAGCCTCTTCAGAGTTCTGAAGTGAGTACATACTGGGAAGAACAGTTGTGGAAACCCACAGAAAAGAAAAATCATTCCCATAACCTCCCTGCAGATTACACAGCCCAAACCAGCATTACACTGTGGTCTTTCTTAATATTAGCTATTAGTTACAAGCAGAGACATTTTTCAAAAGGGATTTGATACTAGTTCCCATGTGTTTCCCATTGCTCTCAGTTTTGCACTTGCAGTATCTGAGTTCAAAATCTGCCTATGTGATTTAAGGATATCTAGAAGCTCCAGCATTTGACACACTCTTTCTAAGAAAAAAAAGAACTACCTCTGCTTTTCTTGTTCTGTATTTGATTGTTTAGAAAACATTGTAAATCCACTCTTTGCTTTTCTCTCTGTATGCTACCTTTTTAGAAAGCCCCCAGGTCAAATCACAATATATACCTCAGGCACATAGGGACTGAATCTTCAGGTTTGCAATCACAGCTCTATGATGGGTGATTAGAACAGTCAGTGGTTAAGAACTGGATAAGTCCAAAAGTTACATAGCAGAACATTTCACCAGTCACAACCCCCCTGTGTTTTTGTGAGTGAATGTATTGCAGATGTTTTAGTTTCCATTAGGCCCAGCATCTCACAGCTGTCTCCTGCTCAGCTCCAAGCACATTCCAGGGAACGGAGCAGGATCTCAGGTTACACTCAGGCAGCATCTTGCCTACCTCAGATTCATGCTGAGACTTAATTTCCTTTTCCCATGTTCCCATAAATTCTTCTTTATATGAAATGATTTATCAGCATGCTCCTCAGCTTCCCTCAGTGCTCCCAAGACGTGATTTGTACCAGCCAAGTGGGAAGGAATTTTCGTATCTAACTTCTTGGTACTTGAGCTTTTGGATGAGCTCAAACAGTAATACTGCTGTGATACACAAGTAGAGAATCAGAGTTGTTACTTTGCCCTTCAAAAGGCTCAGGGAACAGCATAGGATCCTTGCATTATATTTTAATTTGATACAGCAAAGCTAGAAGAGCTGCAGCTGCAGCCCCTGGAACATGAAGCGCACAGCATCCTACAAAAAGGGAAGCAGCATGCAAAGGCATGAATCTCAGCAACTTAATCCTCATGTCATGCCTGCAAGATTCCAAGTTTTTAGAGAATGAATGGACCTTATCTGCACCTTGCGTTGTGGTCTGCGAAGGATAATCCTTGCTGAAGGAGCAGGAGTTTTCTTATCCTCTGCTCACCCTGCATTAGTCAGAGCAGTGCTTTGAGCTGGCTGCAGGGCAGGTGATCTGCTAATGCTCTGTGTCCCCCAGAAAGCCTGCAGGGAAGCTGGGTTATTGCTCAAACAAGCTGGTGTACAAATAGGTCTTCCCTTTCTCCATCTGTGTATGCTTTGAAAAAGAAGTGAACTGCTAAAAATGAATCTCTGAGAAAAATACCCAGTACCTTTGGTGTTCTGCTGCTATTGTGCTACCTGGATAAACAAGGAGGACAGAGAGCAAGCACATCCACCTGGCTGAGCACTACCACTCTATCTATGCCCACAACAGGGTGGACAAGTGGCTCCCCTTGACATCAACACACACTGCTGTAACATACAGCCATCCTGAGGCACTGGTGGCAACATCAGAGATGGAGAACTGTTATTGACACAGGTGATGGCTAACAAGAACAAAACAGTATAATTGAGTCCAAGGAATTGTTTTAAGTTCATAGAACTTAAACAAATGGGCATAAATAAAGAATGTGTCACTAGCTGGCAGAAAGAATTGGCAGATGTAAGCCTTATCTTCACGTTGGTTGTGTCAACATGCTTCAGTGGTGAATTGTGAGTTCTTAAGAAAATAAAGCATGCCCATACAGCCCAACATCAACATGGGCAGCGGTTGCCAGATCGTCTAAGCAGCCTGTTCAAAGAGTGTTTCACAGGGCTGATTTAGAATCGTAGGAACACAGAATTATTAAGGTTGGAAAAGACTTCTAAGATCACCTATTCCAACCATCCCCGCCATGCACACCGTGTCCCTCAGTGCCACATCCACACGGTTCTTGGACACCTCCAGGGACAGTGACTCCACCACTTCCCTGGGCAGCCTGTTTCAATGCTTGACCACTCTTTCTGAGCAGAATTTTTCCTAATATCCAACCTGAACCTCCCCTGGCACAACTTAAGGCCATCATCTCTTGTACTATCGCTAATTACCTGGGAGAAGAGGCCGACCCCCAGGTCTTTTCAGGGAGCTTTAGGTTAAATGTTAAGAAGAAATTCTTTACTCAAAAGGGTGGTGAGGCACCATCACAGCCTGCCCAAAGAGGTTGTGGATGCCTCGTTCCTGGAGACATTCAAGGCCAGGCTGGATGGGAAGCTGGGCGGCCTGATCTGGTGTGTGGCAGCCATGCCCAGGGCAAGGGGTTGGAAATAGATGGTCTTTACAGTCCTTTCCAACCCAAGCCATTCTTTGATTCTAAGATTCTATTTCAGTAGCTTCCTCAAGTGCTGCATGCACATGAAAGCGACGCTTTGTCCTGTATCTGCATCTCATCAGAGGTGTTCTTTAAACAAATGACATTCTTCTGTGCACCTCCATTCCAAACAGCGACCCAGGGAGGGTGAGGCATTTCTTTTGACCAGGAAACTGCTGCCACAACGTTCATCCTTTTTTGAAAAGAAAGAAAAAAAAAGTTATTTAATTTGTACGGGACTAGGGCTGGGTGCTTAGATTTTCTGCTGAGGGTAACTGAGAAACCTAAGATCTGTGTTATCACAGCTTGCAGGACCAGAGTGTAAGGAAAATGGATGCTCGGCTGCCATGAAAGCCCACTTCTTTTGGGCCCTGGCATCCCACTTGGTGCTCGTGAGGTCATTTTGCTGTGCCATCCTGCGGTTCAGCCGGCAGGGCGTCGCGAATACCCGTACCTTCAGAAGTCAGAACAAGCGGGCGGCGATTCCGAACCTGCACCGTTCCAGGTAACGCCGACCCCGCCGTTCGCCCCGGCGACTCCGGGGCCGCCGCGTCACGCCAGATCGCGGCTCCAGGCGATTCCCGGCCGCGGTCCCCGCTCCCCGTCGCGACACGGAGCTGCGGGGCGGGGCGGGACGGAGCCGGGCAGCGCCACGTCGCGCCGGGGGCACCGCGCCGCACCCCCCGTCCCCAAAGCGGGGGCCGCGCCCCGCCCCGGGTGGGAGCATTGTGGGGGAAAGGGGCCGGAGGCGCAGCATCCACGTTTGCAAGTTCTGCCGCCGCCGGAGGAGGAGCGGAGCGGGGCGGGCGCGGCCGGCAGCCTTCCCTCGCCTCCCTCCATGGCGGGGCCGGCGGCCGTGCCTCGGCGCGGAGCGGGCTGCGGCGCGCTGCTGCTGCTGCCGGCGATGCTGGTGAGCTGGGCGGCCTGCCAGGCGCCGCCGGTGCCCGCCGCGGAGCCGCCCTGGGACGGCGCCGACGTCCACGTCGAGCGGCGCTTCGTGCCCGAGCGCTGCCCGCGGGCCGTGCGGCGCGGAGACTTCGTGCGCTACCACTACCTCGGCTCCTTCCCCGACGGCACCCGATTCGACTCCAGGTCGGCCGGAGGGAGGCAGGGAGCCGTCGGGGGGGCGCGGGGAGGAGGTCGGGTGGGTGACGGCGTGGGGAAGGAAGGCTGGAGGGCTGCGGTCTGGTGAGCGGGCGGCGGTGCGGCGGTCGGACCCGCTTTGGGGCGGTTGGAACGCTGCGCTGCGTTCCCAGGGGCTCCGGGACCGTCAGGATGTCCTGGTGGGCAGCGGTGTCCCGTCATAGAGCCCAGGGGTTTCCTGCCCGCTTCCTTCCGTGCCTTTCCTCTGTTTTCTTGAGGCTTAGCCCGACCAGAGCGCAAAGCATTCGGAGCCGTCGCTAACAGAAACACAAGAGCAGTGCTCGCTCTGAAGCGTTTGTGTATATTATCCTTGAGTCACCGTGGACTATCTCCAGCGAAACGCCTTGCCGCCTTCCTCCTGTTGTTTTGGGATCAGGAAACCTAAACATTGGGATCAGGAGGCCGAGAGGGACAGCAGCACTGCTCGCTGCCTGCTTTCTTCTCTGTAATCTTCCTAATCTTCCCCGTGCCCCGGGGAAATCATCGTCCTGCAGAGTGCGGGGTGGTGGGGGGTTTCCCAGTGCACTGCAGGATGGCTCTGCGTGAGGGCAGTGTGCTCCCACTCACTCGAATAATGCGTGCCATGGTGGGAAGCAGCCACGTGTTCAGAGATGTGTTCCTGCTGTACCCACAGGCACCCATCCTTGGTCTCGTGCTGAGCCGTGCCTGCAGAGCTCTGCACCACGCTGTGCACCTGGGCCCAAGGCTGAGCGTGTGCCTGTGGAGCACGGAGGTGTTGGCTGGACTTCATTCCATATTCCCAGTGGCTTGGGTGTGAATTGTGTGGGGTGGGACAGGGTTATGCATTGCCTGTCCCCTTGGATGTCTCCCTCTGAATGGCAGTGCTGATAGCTGGTGACAGTGGCAGTCTCACCGACGTCCCTCAGGTGTTGAAGTAAGGGAAGGTTTATTCTGATTCTTCTTCAGCTCTTGAAAGTGGCCACGGGCCGTAAGCTTCCTGCTCTGTGCAGATGCTCCCGAGCTGTAATGCTGCTCCAACACACTACTCCCAGCTCTTCCACTGACAGCAGTTCCACGTAATTAACTGATACACCTCTTCATTCGTTCTTGTTTCCACAGCCACAAAGCGATCTGAGTTTTTAAGCTTGAATTTAGTTCTCTATGCATCTGCAGTTAGCGTGGTGAGTTCTGCTGATAGAACCTGATATTGCTGAGCTGTAAAGGATCTGCCAGCTCAGTTACGCGGAGCTGCACGCTCTACTCCCTGCTTTATTCAGCTCCTGCTCAGCACCAGTGGTTTCTTAATTGCAGGTTTATTTTTGGCAAGAATAATAAAAGAAAAACCCACAGAAAAACAATAAAAACCTTTTTGGTTTGAAATTCATCCCAAACTCAATGCCCCACTTTATAGGGAGCTGATTTAAATACTTTCCATCCTTGCGGGCGAGCGAGAATATCTGTGCAAGAGAAAGTGAGTGCTGCCTATAGAGGGCTCTCTGTTTTCAGGGAAGTGCTTGCCTGGAAGCACAGAGCTCCCAGTGAAACATCCGAGGGGCTGCTGGGACCTGGGAGCTCGGTGTGTTGTGTGAGTGATACTCACATCCTCCAAGGAGGGTTTGACATCATTTCCCCCGCAGCGTCGCAGCGCTGGCTGCTCGCTAGCACTGCAGCAGAACAGAGGCCTTTTTCTTGTCCACATTCCTTTCTATCTGAAATAAATAAATAAATAAATAAAAATAAAGTCCTTTAAATTGTGAAAGGAATTTGAGAAAGCTTAAAAATAGGCATGAGGCTTTTGAAAACTTCCTGACACAGGTGTATACTTTCCTGTAAAGGTGAATAGCGGTGCTAAGCTGGGTCCAGCACAACGGGGTGGTGTGGGGGCTTGGGGCAGCAGCAGGATTGACAGAGCTGGTGTTGATGCTGTGCTGTGCTAACACTCTGCTTTCAGGACTGCAGGGAAGGCTTTCTTCAACATTGCAGAACAACTTCTTTCACCTTTCGAATGTTTGTGTCTTCTTGCAGTGGAAGATCTCTTAATCAGATCGACTGATTTTCAATCTGGCCAACTTGCTGTTCAAGGCACAGCTGTAGTATTTGCTATTTATTCAAACCTAAGTGAAATGAGAGCTGGGTGTGTGGTGGAGAAAATATTTAACCGATGGGCAAACTAACAGTTAGGACTCAAAGGCCCCTTCTTTCCTTTGCCCTGCTCTAGCAGCCACCAAGCACGGTGTCTCATGTTGCAAAGCTCATCAGTCTCGTGTGGTGTTTTTTAATGTTGATTGCCAGCGTTGACATGTTAAGATCCTATTGTGAGAGCAGCCATCCTTTCACATCCTGTGGCAGCATTTAATTTTCTCTTTTATCCTGAATTTTTCAGTGCTGCTCCTAGCACTGGTGAGTAAATTAATGGTTGGTAGGTGTGGGCTTTGGGTGCCTACTGTGTCCATGGCACAGCGTTAGGATGTGTGTCAGGTGGGTGGCGAGCAGCCAACAGAGGAAAGGATGGGCTGGATTTTCAGAAACACCTGGAATTAATTGTTCCCTTAGCAGCTGCCTCTCAATAAACTTGAGCTAACAGGCAAAGTAGGGACTAGGTACAAATAAGCTCTCAAAAAGCAGCAGAGATGTCAGTAAATGAACCACTAACCTCTTCTCCCTGCTTTTCCCTTTGCAGCTATGACAGGGGATCCACCTTTAACGTGTTTGTGGGAAAAGGGCAACTTATTGCTGGGATGGACAAGGCCCTGGTTGGGATGTGCGTCAACGAGCGGCGCTTCGTGAAAATCCCCCCCAAGCTCGCCTATGGAAGCGAAGGCGTGTGTAAGTACAGTGTGCTGAAGGTGAGCTGGGACTGCAGAGGACTTTCAGGCTGTAGCCATGCTAGCTAGAGATAGCTATCTGTTTGCATCTGCTTTTTTTGTCAAATGCTTTTTTTGTGTTTTGCCATTGTCAAGCTGCACCAGGTCTTGCCAGCGACAAAAGCAGCTTTGCTTGCAGACTCACAGGGATAACAAGTGCTAGATCATTTGGACAGATGGATGTAGTGGATAGCAGATCATGCTGTCAGATCCTCCTCCCCCTGTGCAGCTGCAGGAGTGTTAAGGAACAGAGGGATACAAACCCGCAGATGAAGAAGTTGTGCACCACGGATTGTTTAGGGAATGTGCAGATTGATTCCCTTTACATTGCTGCCCTTTAGAAAACAGGAAATAAACCCCATTGTGTTGTTCTGCTTTTGCAGCTGGTGTGATACCCCCCAATGCCGTGCTCCACTTTGATGTGCTTCTGATAGATCTTTGGAATCCTGAAGATGAAGTGCAGGTTGAGACTTACTTCAAACCTGAGAGGTGCACTCGGAGGGTCCAGGTGTCCGACTTTGTACGATACCATTACAATGGGACCTTCTTAGATGGGACTCTCTTTGATTCCAGGTGTGCAGCTGGGCTGTGTGTGCTTCTGTATTTTAGCAGGTGTCTGAATCAGTCACGTGAAACCATCTTCTCCCACTCTGTTGCTAGAGCAATTTGTGCTATCTGACCAAAAACACAGGCAGTTTTCCCAAGAAATTAAAGGCCAGCATCATGTATAAATAATTTATTCAGGCACTATGGGACAGCAGTACTGACTCAGGCCAATAAAACAAACAGCTGTAGAATTCCTGCACAGGTATTAGCAGCCTGTGTCTATATTACTGTCTGCTGCAGTCAGCTAATAGTTTTATCACTAGTGCAGGATAGCTATTCATGTTACAAACAAGCTTTATAAGTTAAGCAGGCAGAGATTTAAAAGAAATTGAGCTATTAACACTTTCATATTAAGATTTTAAATGTGCAGCATATATTCTTCATTGAAGTCATGTGGAAAATGATGCTTTAATAACAGCTGCCATTCTATTTGTAAGTAAGTTTTCAAAACCTCTGCTAGGTTTCTGAGATAGCTAAGTGTTCTGGAAAATGCTATGCAGCAAGACATTGGTAAATTCATGAGCAAAGTTAATGTTAATAACGAGCAGCAAATGGTGGCATATATCATGCTTAGTAGTTGGCTGCTGGGGATTAATGTTGTTCCTGAATTCTTTGTTGGCTTTTTTTTTGTTTGTTTGTTTGTATTTTTAGCCATAATCGGATGAGAACTTATGATACATATGTGGGCATTGGATGGCTGATTCCTGGAATGGATCAGGGTCTCTTGGGAATGTGCATCGGGGAGAAGCGCATTATCACAATTCCACCTTTCCTGGCATATGGAGAAGAAGGAGATGGTAAAGTTGTTCCTTTTTTTTTTTTTTTTTTAATCTGAGCCATCTATATTCTAAAACAAAATCGAGTATTTTAAATTCGTGGTCAACATGACTACTAATTTCAGGCAAAGGGAACAAAGTGATGGAAAGAGAAGATAAAAATGTACTATGTATGGGATGTAGCTGATTATAAAATACAAGATTTTTTTTTTTAACGTGAGCAGTACGTTAACATGTTGTTGGTACAAACTGTAAACTTTACATACTGAAGTCTAATTTCATTTAGAGAATATCACTTCTAGTTAATAATGGCTCCAAAAAGTCAGGTGTCTGCATAATTTTTCCAAAGACTGCCACTGAGAGCAGAAAACAGAAATGCACAGGCTGTGTTATGAAATTTTGACAAGATCTTGAGCTCACTGATTCTCAGACAAAGCAATCCACATTATAATTTGTGTGTTGGTGAAGAGGTATTTTTTTACTGAGGGAGTCAACTCGTCCATCTTCAACTTCTATGGTGTAGTCTCCTGTTTTGGTGTTAACCAAAAGAGTTAGATGTACCACATCTGTATCCTGATGGATGTTTTAGGCACTGTATTCATAAAGTGTGTTGGAAATAGTGGTAGCTTAAAACATGGAATTCAGGTGGACTTGGTGGCATACATGACTAAGGTGAGCATTACCAAAGAGCCTTGTTTTTGGTGAGGCAGTGCCATTGCTGTAGGAACAGAAGGAAATAACTGAATGGGAGAATTAAGTGACAAACCCACACGCCGAATGACTGACTAGAAGCAGATTATGCTGGTTTATTTTAGGAGGTGAAGTGCCTGATTTGGCAGTGTTTTTTCTTCAACAAGAACTCTTAAGCTCCCTGTAGAACACATGCTCTGTGTCATTTTCAGGTAAGGAGATCCCTGGCCAAGCTTCTCTTGTCTTTGACGTGGCTTTGCTAGATCTCCACAACCCTAAAGATGGTATTACTATTGAGAACCAGCTTGTGCCAGAATCCTGTGAGCGAAGAACCCAAACAGGGGACTTCATCCGATACCATTACAATGGCACCCTTTTGGATGGCACCTTGTTTGATTCCAGGTAACCAAACTGTTCAGCACCACAGATTCCATTTCCAACTTGGTTTGTCTGTCTTGTCCATAATATGCTCATATGAAACTCTTTGCTATTCCTTCCTTTTCGGAAATTTTGAATGGAGTTGGAGTCTTCCTGTATTTAAAAAAAAAACCACACAGCTCTTATCAAACTCAGAAGACAGAAGGCTATTTTGTATCTGGGCAGTATCAGAGATGCCATCTAGGGGTTGCCTATGTGAAGCTCTACATGCTTCAGATGTGTGCTTGAATAGATTTTGCTCCACTGAGCTTATATGCCAAGTATATAAATCTACTGAAGAGAGAGAAAGTAAATATGATTCCTATTTTATGTTTTATGTCCTGAGAATTGTGGGTCAGTGATCTCGTGCCTAGTTGGAGGTTAATATCTGAAGCCTTCCTTCTCTACTTGAAAGCTGTGTACATTTTGAAGGCTGGTGCCTTTCAAGACACAATCAACACAGTTTCTTCATAAAGGAAGAAGGTTCACTGTCACTTCATATTCAAAGTGCTCTGGGTACACCCACACCTTGTACAGAATTATATGATGAATAATACCCTTGTAAGTTACTGAAACATTATTTTTTTTTCTTTTAATGAGCAGTACATTACTTTCCTTCTCCTGCTTTCAGAACACCTTACAGAAACTTGCAAGATAAGAACTTCCAGCTTATCCACAGTGCACCTGGCCAGAATATCTCTTATTTTTTTTTCAGTAGTAAATGGGCATTGTCTTTTCTGTTGCAATTAAACAATTGTTTAAAAAGCTGAAATATGCTTACTAGGGTTTTTGTCAATAATTAGTAATAAATGCTTTGTAGACAGCTGCCTATATATCATTCCAAAGAGCTGATAATTGTTATAATCTTTATTGAAGTGTCATATCTTGGCTTCCTGCAGAATTTACAAGAAAGGCCATGTCTAACAAGGCGAGGAGGAAATAGAGCAGCTAGCAATCATTAGTGAAAGCCTTGGAGTTGGCCAGGAAAAAAAGAAGTCACTAGTGCAGGGAGCATTCCAAAAGCACAGCTAATGGCTGGGGTCAAGATCTTTAATAATCTTTTCATTCATTTCTTTCTCTGCAATATTCAGCTGCAGAAAGTACCTGGGAAGCTCAGCCAAGGCAGTCTGGACTTAGAGCAGTTCAGCAAGCCCCCAAATTAACTAAGGTTGTATATTGGTCTCCTTCTGTCCCAGAGTTATCTCATAAAGATGAATTAAAACCTTTCTGCCTTCCCTTCTTTGTGCCTTCATGTAACATGCCTCAAAGAAAGGCAGAAGACAGACACATCCTTCTAGTAAACATCATCTGTTGTTGTAGGCTTGTTTCACTCTTACCTTAGGTGCTGAAGCATATTCATAAACCAGTGTTTAAGTGATTGAGATAGTTAAGAAGGGAGGGATAGTGTTGATACTTTTTGTTGTCGTGACTCATTTTAATGCTGTGCATCCCAGGAGAATTTATTTATTCTACCTCCTGCCTGTAGCAGTTCAGCAGCATAGCTGTGGTTGCAAAATGAGATAGGTGTCTGACAAAAATGAACCTGAAATATATCTTGTTAAGCACTTATGAAAATAGGGTTAGGGCATGGGAAAATTCCAAGGAGAAAGCTTTGATTTTTTTTCAGCGATTTGAACTCAAAAAACATCATTTGTAATAAAGTACAGAAAAAGGTGAGATTTTTTTCATGATATAGTAGGGATGCATTTGCAAACAAGCCAGGGCCCCAGTAATGGCTAATGAGTGACACATATGCATCACTGACTCGTGAAACTTGGTGGCCTACATTCATGATGATTGCATTGTGTCTCTCTGGTGATGGTTAAGGATCACGTGTTTGACCTAACTGGTTTAAGAACTGTGTTGCAAGATTCTGTACTCTCTTGAGCACCTGCCAGTGCTAAAAAAGCAAATAACTTTTCCACAGCTACTCACGAAATCGTACGTATGACACCTATGTGGGGAAGGGCTATGTGATTGCTGGGATGGATGAAGGTTTGCTAGGTGTATGCACTGGTGAAAGGAGAAGAATAATAATCCCTCCACACCTTGGATATGGAGAAGAAGGAAGAGGTAAGATTGACTTTTCATTCAAAACTTCCATAATTAATGACGTTTCCTTTGCTGTTCAGTGCAGTTGTTTGTAGTTAAGATATATAAAGTATTGTGTTCCAACTTTTTGGTGTTCAAAAGGCCTATAAATTAATCTGTTAATTTGTGGGCACGCAACTGACAGGATAACACCCAGAACGTGCAAAATTATTTTAATTACCCAATAGGCAGGACAATAGGAATGCAGGACAATCTCTCATGTAATTGGTGACCTGGAATCATTTGGATAATTAATGTTTCAGGCAGATTGGTACTTGGTGACCTGAAATCATTTGGATAATCAGTGTTTCAGACAGACTGGTACTTGGGTGCCATGAACTCTGCAGCACTGCAGAGTCAGATTCCTTCCTGTGTCTTAACAAGTGCTGTGTGCTAAAGGAATTAACTGTGTTAAGTTTTCTTCCCCATTCCTTCCACAGCCACAGGTTTTGTGGACTCCTAAGCCGCCTCTGTAAACAGATGCATGTAACACCAAAGTATCTGTGTATGTATAACATACAATTAACATTCCTTTGGGAGGACTTACTAGTACAAAAAGGATTGCTGTGAGAGGTTGAATATAGAGCCAATCACAGTTTTGTGGCTGGTGTTTTAAAAGGTACCTCCGGGGTTGATATTTGGAAAAACTGACTTAGAAGAGAAGCCTCTGTTCTGTGAATACAAATTCTGGGCTGTTGATTTGGGAATGAGGCTCCTTACCAACAAAACTCACTGCTGGCTCTGGATGTGCCTGGCATTGCTGATAATGCAGTTACGCATTATCCTGGGTAGGGGAGAAGAAGTTGCTTGCAATCAGCACACATTAGGAAAATGTAACCTTTAAGACACAGTAGCATTCCTTGAAGCATGAGAAATCCTATGAGAATTCTGATGATCGATAATGAGTTGATGTGTGAAACAAATAGCAGTCTCATTTAGGGTGGTCAGAGGAAAATACATGCTTATTGCTTCATTTCTGAGTGGTTTTCCAATTCAGAATAATGAATATTTTTTCCTTCATCATGGAACTGAGTGCAAACTCAGTGCTTTTCTACTGGTTCCCTTTCCTACATTGGATGAAACTTGCATCTATTGCTTATAGAGGAGACGTAATCCTTTAAATCTGAACAAGAAGAGCAAAATGACTCAGTAGTGGACGTAGAGGGAATTAATTTTCCTACTGGGTACAGAACCTGGTTGTCACAAGACTTTTTGGGTACCATTTCTTTTCCTATTACTTGCCTAATTTGCTTCTTACCTAGGAAAGATTCCTGGATCTGCGGTGCTGGTCTTTGACATTCATGTGGCTGACTTCCACAACCCCTCTGATTCAGTCAGCATTACTGTTAACTACAAACCTTCCAACTGCAGCCTACTGAGTAAGAAGGGAGATTACCTGAAGTATCACTACAATGCTTCGCTCCTGGATGGCACTCTGCTGGTCTCGACGTGAGTATATTAGCCATTAAAGAAAATGGCTCTGGCAGCAGTGAAGGCAGTGAATATCACAGAATCACAGAATGGCCAGGGTTGGAAGGGACCTCAAGGATCATGAATCTCCAAACCCCCTGCCACATGCAGAGCCATCAACCTCCACATATAATACTAGACTAGGCTGCCCAGGGCCCCATCCAACCTGGCCTTGAACACCTCCAGGGACGGGGCATCCACAGCCTCTCTGGGCAGCTGTTCCAGCACCTCACCACTCTCTCTGTAAAGAATTTCCCCCTGACATCCAACCTTCCCTCCCCTCCCTCAACTTCAGACCATTTCCCCTTGTCCTGCTGTTATCCATCCTTTCAAAGAGTTGATTCCCCTCCTGTTTGTAGGCTCCCTTTAGGTACTGAAAGGCTGCAGTGAGGTCACCCCACAGCCTTCTTTTCTCCAGGCTGAACAAGCCCAGCTCCCTCAGCCTCTCTTTGTAGGGGAGGTGCTCCAGTCCTCTGTTCATCTTCGTGGCCCTCCTCTGGACCCTCCTCTGGAACAGCCTGAAAAGCTATTACACAGTTTGTATTTTTATGTCTGCCTGCCTAAGAAGCATAGGAGAAGGAAGGCAGTCTATCATAGTGAGAGAAACAGGAACAAAGAGGGTGTAGGAATGTGCTGGAAAAGAACATAAACACTACAGGCAGAGTGATGAAACGAGTTGTCTGCATGACAGATGGCAAATTCAGGAATCTGGGCCCGTTGTACCGGAATGGTGCTGGGCTCTGTGTGAACAAACCAGTCTCCTGGGAAGAGTTTGCACTCTGCTGGTTCAGTGCTCCTGAGAGAGGTCTTGTAGAGGCACTCGGTGTGGTCCTGTTAAAGCTGGCTTCAGGGTGTTGTACAGTAAGTAGTCATCATGTCTGTACCACGCATGGGTGCTGGTTTTCCTTAGTGCAACTGTACTGTCCCAATAAGTGGCAGTGTGGAGAAATTATCATCAGGTCATTGCTGTGATTATAATGTTCCTCTTCCTGTTGACAGGAGGTCTATGAGGATAGCAGAGACTGCTCCAGTCTCTCATATACAACTGAAGTGAGCCCACAACACTGTTTAGCTTCAATACTTTTGCTAGTTTTCTTTCTGTTGTTTTCTGCATAGCATTAGTCATCTAAATAATATTTTATTTTTGGAAGGGAAGTTGGAAAAAGCTATTTTTAAACAGGTTATGATTATCATAGGAAGCCAGTGCATAGTTCTCACAGTTCACACAGTAGCTTGCAGAGCTGAAAAGCTGGCTTGTGTCGAAACACATGATATTGTGCTGTGGTCAGGTATGTATGGAAGTAACACCATGCATACAAAACATCTTTTATGTGGTAGAAATGCACAGTTCTCATTTTGTGGCAGGAGCCAAGGAATGTTGAGACTGTGTTATTCAAAGCAGTTCATAGGGCATCAAAGATTGTGAATCTCACAATTCTAAATTTAGGATGGGCCTGCTATCCACTGAACTGTTTTCTTTGCAAATAACACTCTGCTGTAAAAAAAAACATGTCCTGCAGTGGTAAAGTCAAGCTAAACAGCCAAGGACAGGAGACTGACAGAAGAAAGGATCCTGCTAATGTGGTGCATACTATGTAATAAGTCTTAACACACTCTTTTAGAGTTACAATATATGCTTATCTTCTGGGTTACCTCTTGATAATTTCTAATTTCAGGAATAAGAGCAACAAAGCATAATTTGAAAAATGATCATGTTAAATAGCATAGTACTCTTATACTTTCCAGCTGCCTTGATAATTCACTTGTTATGGTGAGTGATTCATATTAATGTAATGGCTGATGCATCTGAATGTATCCCAGTCCTCATAGGTTTGTAGTTCTGGGATAAATGTACATCTGGAGTTTTTAGGTCTGCTAAAAAAGCCAACATCAGTAGTTGAAAATATTTGAGAGGCAGAGCATCTTGCTTAGAGATAAACTACTTTGGGGGTTTAATTGGCAGGATGAATCATTCTAATGGGATTTCTTTCAAGAAACCTAGAATTTTAATACCAGATGACTTATCAAGAGCTGGGACACTTCTGGTTGATGTTGGCTGTGTCTTGCTGCCTTGAGAAGAACTTCAGGTAACTGCTTGGTAGAACAGAGCACTGGGCATGACATTAATTCTTGGCAAAGAGAAAACACTGATTAGGAACTGCTACTCACATGGTAGTTCTGAGTAATAGAAATTCTATACAGTATGTTAATTTTTTTTTTTTTTGGGTTCTTTTCCCCTTGCTCCAGACACAGTCTTGGCAAGACCTACAACATAGTTCTGGGATCTGGACAGGTGGTGATAGGGATGGACATGGGCCTTCAGGATATGTGTGTTGGAGAGCGACGGACAGTTGTTATACCACCTCATCTTGGTTATGGAGAAGATGGAGTGGGTAAGTAAGTGAGACCTATTGCACGTCCACTTAGGATCTCTGGAGCATGTATGCAGGTTTTGTTACTTGCTGTGTGTTAGGTGAGTATCTCTTAGCTGCTTGAACATCATTTTTTAGAGTTTGTTTTCATTTCATTATTTTAGGCAGTGCCCCCATTCCCTATTGAAAGGAACATGTTGCATTTAAGTCATGTTATTGCTGTGGCCACTGCAGAGAGTATCCCAGCACAAAGGTTAACACATGCTCCAGTAATGTTGCTTTGTCAAAATGGAAAGCTCCAGGCACTCTGGTGTTGCAGAAGGATGTAAACACAGTTCTCACTGATAGGGAATTGGTATTCACTATGCTGTGTACAAAAGACAACTGAATTTCAGCACCTATGTGTTAGAAAATTCAAAGAAAACTCAAAATTCAGAAATCATGTAATCTGAGTGTAAAATGTGCAGCAATTTATGACCACTGTTGAAACCCCAGCAAGAAAACAAGGCACCTTGGAAAATCCATGTTTTAGAGCATGAAGGCTTATCAGTTTTTTGGTGACAAGGACAACATTAGAAAGAACAATATAGAAATGATAAGAACTTTGATAGTTAAAGAACTGGGGGAAAGGAGTCTTACCAGGAGATTCCAGAGCTTTTTGCTCTGGTTTAATGTAAAAACAGTCGTGTAAGTAACTATGCTCCTTGCATGTCTCCAGAACAGTTTGTATTTTATGAAAACTGCCAGGCATCAAATGTCAGGCTTAAGGGAGAATTAATTTGTGATAAGTGATAAAAAGGCTTTTTTACTTGTACCTGGTTTCCATAAGAATTATGAAGAAATATGAGTATTAGAAATATATGACACTTTATACTATTCTATAAGATTATGTAGTTATATATAATACATTGAAAAATAACTGGAAATAAATAAATAAATGGAAATAAATAAAGAAATAAATAAATGGGAAAAAATGTGCTATGTAAAAACCATTATGAATACACTAGTGGTAGGTATTTGGCATCATGCTAATTGTATTTGATATCCATGGTTTGAAACATTACATGATTGTCAGTGTTTCGATATATGCCCACAAATCTGAAAAGCTTCTTGTTGCTGCTGAATAAAAGTTAGAGATGACCTCTGTTTTACTTTTTCAAGGATAAATTAAGCTCCTTCTATAGTTTAATTGAGGCAGTATACCCAGCTGTTACAACACATGTGTGTGTATGTGTCACTAACATTTGATACACAGTGTATTGGGTAGGTACATTAATTCCCACATTTATACTTTGTAATTAAAAAAATGTGGATGCAGTTTTATTCTGATTTCTTCCTTTATGTTACATTCACCTCTGCTGAAGGGAGCAGGAAGGTTTGGTGGGCTTGGAATCCCAGGGCTTGGGGATCACAGTAGAAAAGAACCCATCGGAGATGGAAGAGAAATATAATTGTGTATTAAAAGCAAATGTCCTCACTTACACTGAAGAGTATAAACACCTCTCTTTGCCTTTTGTTGGGACAGAAGGAGAAGTGCCTGGAAGTGCTGTGTTAGTTTTTGACATTGAACTTCTGGAGCTGGTGTCTGGCTTGCCTGAAGGATACATGTTTGTATGGAATGGTGAAGTCTCTCCCAATCTTTTTGAAGAAATAGACCAGAATCATGATGGAGAGGTCCTTTTGGAAGAGGTAAGCTAAGGCAGTGAAAATTCTTCCTATGGTTTTCTCCTGATGCCATCACCAAGGTGCTCAGATATCAAAGAATGGAGTCTTTGCTTCACTTTGCTTGTCTTTTTTCATATCTTGAGTGTTTTCAAGTTAACAGGAAGCCAGCGTGTCTGTTTAAATACAGTTATTTAGCTCTAGAGAGGGAAGTGAGAAAAAAACAAACAGGAATGGCTTTCTACTTAAGACTGTGTGCTTCTGTTGTCTCCTGTGGTCAACATCAGATCTGTAGGGAATGGGCATAAAAGGCAAGGCTAGTATTCAATGATCCTTCACTATATCAGCCTTCACAGTGTTTGCTCACTGAAGGTTTTTGGTGAAATCTTGAGACAAAGATGAGCTTGCAGTAGTGGTCCAATCAATTCTGGAACCTCCATAGGTGAACAGTGTGCTGTGTAATGAACAAGTCTTTCCCCACACTTGCTCTTCAAATCTGCAGTGTGAGAATGCCACTGAGTGCCCTAATGGAAAGTCCCTTCTCTTTGCCATGCCACTTCTGATTATATAAATCTCTGTGAGGTTTTCCTTTGTGTTGAGGAATTTTGTTTGTTTGTTTTTAATTCTCCAGTCTTCCCTGTGGTGTCACCTGGCAAGGAGGGGAGGGAGGAGCCAAAGAGACTAAAAGGGTGCTTAGTCCAAAAAGTGTCAGTGAATGGCAAAAGAAGTTCTCGTTACTGAAGCTTAGTTAGCAAGTAGTGCCATAGAGATCAGTGATCAGGAAAGCTGACTGTGGGCTTTCTGTTCATGGCAAGCCAGCAGTATGATTTCTGCCAGATCAGTAGCATCACCATATGTGTCAGGAAAGAATTTGTAGGGAAAACTAACCTTGTAACCTGGCAACCTTTTCATCACTCTTCCCCTCATCGAAATTATGGGAATTCAATGCAAGGCATAATGCCTGAAGCTACTTTAACTTAAATGCATGATATCCTGATATTTCAGCTCTCGTTTCCGTGTTTCACTCTTTTCTCTTGTGCACAATCTTTTAGGCTGCAGGTGGAGGCTTGATTTACGATACAAACTTCTTGTGTCAGCATGCAGAATCAGACACCCCCTCTCTGTACAGAACTGTTCCTAACTCACTTTTTGTTTACCTCATCTTTCCTACACTCTAAAAAGAAAAACCTGAAACAAAACACTCAAAATGATGAGAAATATCTTTTCTTATTCTGAATCCAGAGATGGCTGGAATAAGTGAGGGAATTCTTCTCGAGCTCCACGTAGTGCAATTTAATCTCATGTGTCTCTCCTAATTAGTCTAATTTAAGTTGTAAGATTTACCTCATCAGTTCTCGACGTTTGTTCTAAATGAGCTGTTTTCTCCTCCTTTCCCCCACAGTTTTCAGAGTACATTCAAGCTCAGGTTGATTCTGGCAAAGGAAAACTAGCTCCTGGTTTTGATTTTGAGAAGATTGTCAAAAATATGTTCACCAATCAGGACCGGGATGGAAATGGTAAAGTTACTGCTGAAGAATTCAAGCTGAAGGACCAAGAGGCCAAAGAGGGACACGATGAACTGTAAAGCTAAAAGGAGTGAAGGGTACTGAGCTGGCCTACTCTTAGGACGTGTGTACTGGGAGGGGTTTAAGCAAGTGCATTTCTGTAAGGTTAGTGCTCAGCCTGTGTGTGCCCATGCTCGTGTGCTGGGCAGACTGTTGAAACAGGAGGAGATTTTCAGTTGGAATTGTTAGGTGTATGTAAAAAATAAAAAGCAGTCTTAAGTGCCTTAAGAGAGGATGTGTAACCTGATAGAATGTACTGCCAGACGTGGCGTCGTGAAGCACGCGCTCCGTGGATCAATACAAAGTCACTTGGATGTGTGGAGGGGAGACACTTACAGAGTGCCTTACAAAGACTTTTGAGAAACACACCGTATCTGAAATATTCCTGCGGGAGAACATATCAGAAAATATTCCCCATGAAAATAACTAAAAGTTGTCAGTAGTTGATCCCATTTCGTGTCAGAAGGGATGAGCACTCTCTCCGGTCACAGAACAAACTCAGAGGAATATTTGCCAGTGGGAGCTCTTGATTTGCAAATTGCAGAACAAGTAAATGATTACCGTGCCATTGCAAAATTTCCTAAGCTGTGAAGTGAACAGGCCTAGAATTGTGTCCGTGTGAGGGGTGGCTTATTATTTCATGAAATGAGTTTGCCACCCCTCTGTTGTATTTAATAACTTCGACTCTTCTTGCTGGCCTGTTAAAACACTGTTCACTGTTTTAGGGGGTGATTCCCAAACATTTATAGTTGCAACTTTATTTATAGTTCTGTTAGACTTTAAATATTAGTATTACAGGGTCCAAATAGTGTCATAAATACTGGATACAATCGATTCTGCGTTGGGCTTCTGCCTCCTATTTTGGGAATTGTTAGGCTCAGCAGCCACGAGGAGCTGGTGCAGCAGAGCAGCCTGGCATGGGGAACAAACAAAAAGACAGTGACAGAATCAAGGAACAGACCCTGTTTACACCTGCAAATGTTCTGGCATATCCCTCAATATCAGATGAACCCTGGGAGTGCTGTTTAGATGATGAACTCTTAATACAATCACCCATGAAAGCTCTAAATGTAGCTATAGCTGTTTAATAGAAAAATACACTAAATAGCCATTTTTTTCTGGAAAGCTGTATGATTTCCCCCCTCACTACATTACATGTAAAAAGAGCACAAATAGGTATAGTGCAACACTGTCAAAGACACGTAGAAAGGGAGTTGTGTTTCATTATATGCTTTGTGTCTAGTTTCTTGCTTTTCTTCATCTGTACATGTGGGTTGTAAGCTCCCTGAGATGCTCTTTAGAAACTGGTCTTTTGATTGGGCAAAAAGATTTTGTATTGGTTTTTAATACAGTTGTTAAAGAAAAAGCAGTGAACTATTTTTGGCATTTGATATCATTAAATGTTGGATAACTGATCTTTTTGTTAAATAAAATGTTAATTAATTACATTTTCTTCCTGGCACTTTGATAGGTGGGGATGGAATAGAAGCAAACACCCTTTTCACAGCACTCTGCACACAACAGTCTTACATGTTCAATGTTACTATTAATCTCAGGGAAGAAATATTTTGAATTAAAATACTTGATTCGAAGCAGTTAAAACCACAGTAAGATATTCTGGTTGTGTACTTCACAGAAGTGAAGCTAAATCAACTCTCTGGCCTTACAAGTAGTTCCCTATGTTAACCACCCCACACTTCCATCACTTGGGACCACTGGGCAGGTGATGTTTCTCTAGGTTGGGGACTCGATGTCTCTCAGCTGATGAAGTTGGATTACGTACAGAAGGAGCAGTGTTTAATTCCTCAGGGTAGTGAAAGCAAACCCACTGTGCTTTGCAACTGAGGCTTGATGTTTTCACTTCTGTAGCTCCAGAATTGTACTGCAAGTAAAATGCTGGGAGCCTGGTCTGCTTTGGGGCCAATGTCAGCTACATGACAGCTATAAACACTGTGGTTAGCATTAGATGGCAATAGAAATGCAAATATATATTTTTTTTTTTACCTGAGCTGGCTCCTCAGAAGTGTCAACATCTTGCAAAAGCAGATTTCTCAGAACAGCATTGCACAAAGTTTTTCCCCTTCATTTTAGGTGTAAGTAGATTGCTTGCTTGCCGCTGTTGTTCAGATTTACTTCTGTGCATTTATGGAGCTGACGTGGGGAGCTGGAAGCAAGTTCTGATTGAGTGCTGCTAGAAATAGTCCCCCAAATGTGGAAATAACCCCATAATCTCTTCACTACGTACCTCAAAAAGGTGTGTTCTGAGGATGGAAAATCTGAGGAGAATCTTAGTCATTGGGAATTTCTGCGTGGAGGATCCTTGTAGTCACTTCCCTGGGCTGATCTGAACAGTTCCTAGAAAACCAGGAGTGCAGAGCTGTGCTGTGGGTTAGGCTGAGTACAAAGAGCAGCACTGCAGTCCCTTGGCAATCCCTCAGACTGCAACGCTGGAAGTTTTCAGAAGCACAGGTCTGTGATGGTGTAACAGGTCTGACTTCACCGCCAGGGTACATCTGAGGAGTGAAATCTTCATTTTACTGTTTCTTAGGACTTCACAAGTGTGGTTTGTGACTTATCCAAATGCTGTTTTCTGCCAAGAGGAAGCTGCTGTCAGCACCCCCTCCCTGGGGGCTGCCATTTCAGAAAGGAGAATGCAGCTTCAGGGATAAAGCAGAGGATAAGCAGGCAAACTTCCTGCAAAGTAATCATATCCACACTATGTGTTTACTTGCCCAAAGGCAAGTAGGACCACATTAAGCTGAACCGCATAAAATTTGGGGTTTTTGATGATTCACAAAAACCCTGCATGTTGCTCTCCTTTCTGCTAGCAGCTCTAGGTTCCAACCTGAAAGGCAAGCTCCTTTGAGAGGACGTGGTTGTGCTGAAGCTGAATGCCTCCAACCCATGCTCCTTGCAGTGTGCAGAGACCATCCCAAGGCAAAGGGGCTCCAGCTGGGAGCCTTTCCTGGTCCCACCACAGCCTCTGGGGTGTGTGGTATTCCAACATGTCCTGCCCTTGCCATAGAGGGGACAATGTGAGTCCTGGTTTGTTTGTTTGTTTTCCTGCAGGGAAAAGCAACTCTATTTCCAAATCTGGAGAGATCTATGGGAGCTTGGAGATAGCAGCAAAGAAACAGAAGTGCTTATTATGCAGCTGGTATACAAGCAACCAGTTACCAAACAGGTCCTGGGGGAAGGAGTGTGGGCTCAGAAGGTACATTGTGCTGGAGTTGATTGTGAGAGCAGAGCCACCACACCTCCCTGCCCCAGCAAGAAATAAAAAGTTAAAGAGGGTGGCCTGTGGTGGATTTAGAAAAAAAAAAACCAAATATTTTCTATCTCAAAAATGTATAATCACTTTTCAAGTGAAAAGAAACTAGATCATAGAATCACAGAATGGTTTGGGTTGGAAGGAACCTTTAAGATCATCTGGTTCCAAGCCTTCTGCTACAGGCAGGGACACCTCCCTCTAGACCAGGTTGCTCCTGGTCTTCAATACTTCCAGGGTCGGGGCATCCATAGCATCACTGGGCAACCTGTTCCAGTATCTTACCACCCTCACAGTAAATCTCTGTTCCAATATCTTACACCCTCACCAGATATCAGAATTGCTGATATCTGGTTGAAACCTACCCTCCTACATTTTAAAACCATTTCCCCTCATCATGTTGATACCTGCCCTTATAAGAAGCCCCTCCCCAGCTTTCCTGTGGGCCCCCTTCAGGTATTGGCAGGCTGCTGTAAGGTCTTCTCAGTGCCTGCTGTTTCTTGTGTAATGTATATGGTACTTTTTTACATACCTTGCTAAGATAACTTGTTTTGAAATGTTTTGAAACAATGGATAATGACTCTTTAAATATCATCAGTAACTGGATGAAAACAGCCTCGTTTAGTCAATGAGAGGCTCTCCCAAAGCCAGGCTGCTGCAGCTCCTCTACTGGAGCCAGGTGCTACTCCCAGAGCAGAGCAGCTGGCTCCTATTGTGTCTCCTTGGTGGGTGAGGCAGTCTGCAGTCAAGGTTGGTAAATACCTACTGGATTGTAACACCACTAATGGAAGAAGAAAGAAATGCAAGTGGGCACCCGGAAAAATTCAGGTATTTTGTGAATATTTTTTCAGCCTTCATGTGGAAGAGATGCTTCCTGCTGCATAGCTTTGTATGTTCTAAGTATATTCAAAAACTCAGAGTTTTGCAATTGTTGAACTCAAAACTTTTTTTTTTTTTTTTTTGGTGGGAATAAACATTCAGATTTTCCCTTAAGATTAAAGAAAAAATGGCATCTTCAGGTAACACTGGGTGTAAGCCTTGGGCTCAGCTCAGGACTATTTGTGTTTGACAGTAAGAGGACATCAGAGCTGTCTGCAATGCCCAATCAGGAAACATTTTTAGCTAGGTAGGGATCCCAAATGCTTGACCTTGGATTATCTGCTATAGAAAGAATAGATACTGTGAGTAGAAGAAAAAAAGGAAGTTTTAAATTCACCTAATGTTGCTGCTTACTCCTTAAACTTTAGAATCAGGTTTTTGATAGGAAATGTGTGAGTGTGTATGTATATATATTCATATATGTATTTCTATATATATGCTTTCCTTCAAATTAACAAATGAAGTGTACACTCAGGGCTGTGAGATGTCATTGCCACAAATCTGATTTAGGTAGACATTGCTGGAGGATAATTTTAACCCATAGCTGTTGTGTTAATTTTGTTAGCAGTAAACATGGTGTGCTGTTTGCTCATGTTTTAGGAGAGGTAACTGACAGCTCTTATTGCCAGCCAACGGATCAGGGACAGAAAAATGGGATTTTGAAAATGGGAAGTGTGTTTAAAAATGCAGCTAATGCCTTCTTTTAATTACTGTGTAAGTAAGTTAGAGCTGGCAGCAGGTCATGAGATGATGAAAAGAGATTAAAAACCTACATACTATTGATTATTAAAAGCACACGTTCAGGATGTTCATGTAAGCAACTGTTTTTGTTTCTGGAAAGCTGTACGTGTGACATTTCAGAAGTAAATTCTTTGACTAGCAGCCACCCTTTTCCCAGGAAATGGGTTCTACCAGGTGATTGTTTTCGTTGCATCAACAAATCTTAGTTGCTCTGATGTGCCAGCAAAGAGCTGAGCACTCAGAGCCCCTAACACAGAATCTGAGGCTGGTATAACTTCATGATGGCTTCATGATAGAAGGCATTGCTGGAGAGCTTAACTTACCTGCTTGCTTGCAGAAGGGTAAAAGTCCTTTTAAGCGATTGTCACTTGCCTGTGGACTGAATATTTGGTGAATGACAATTCACTGTCCATCTGCCTGCAGGCAAGGGGTAAGTTTTGCTCACATGATGCTTGAGAAATGGTTGATGGATCCAGAATCCTCTGCCAAGGCAGAGTTTTCAGTGCTGACATAGAGAACTGAAAGCCAATGATGTGCTTTCCCACATCATCAGGCATTTCTGCTACTGCCCAGGCTCTAGCAGGCTGCATACTAATTTGAATGATTTGAAAACTAAGATGTTGTTGGAAGTCTGTTGAGATAATGCTTTTAAAGATACTGCCTAATGCTCTTCCCTATGGCTTTATTTTCTGTTGTGACTGGGTTGGATGATCCCACTGAAGGAAGGAGTGATGACTTGCTTCCTGTGGGGGTGGATGAGGTTGAGGAAAAGATGTGAAGGAGAAATTGGTGTGTTCATATGAAGTCCTGAGGCACGCTGGACAAGAATGTGGGACAGTCTTGCCTTAGGAACAGGACACCAAGAGACCAGACCTGCTCAAGGCCAGGTTGGATTGGGCCCTGCATGCGGCAGGGGGTTGGAGATTCGTGATCCTTGAGGTCCCTTCCAACCCTGGCCATTCTGTGAACTGATAGTCAGATTACCAGGGAAATGTTACACCTGCTGCCAGAAGGATCCTGTACTGGTATGTGTGTGTGCTGTGACTCATCTGTGCTGCAGAGCAGTGGTATCAGCTGCCTATCACACAACCCGAGCTGCACTATTATCTGCATTCCAAAGGTAACCAGTCAATGGAAAAATTTGCCCCAGTGTAAACTCAGAGCAATGCCTGGTAGTCAGCTCCTAGCAGATGGAGACTGGCTGAGTAAGCGGTGCATCCAAACACCTCGGTGCTTTGTGGAAGGCCTTTGCCTTTTGGACTTTTACTTGGCAGCTCTGTCAAAAGATTCAACATGATCACTTTTTAAAAAGAAAAACCAACAGTTACTGAAACTAAGAAATACCAAAAACTTCTTTCCTTCCTTCAAGTTATGCATATCACCACTCTGCTCTACTGTCTCAGGGACTGGATGTGCAGGGTAGCTTGAGGGCACACCCAAGCAGGAGAGGAAAGAGGACACACACACCTTGCACACTGAGTGTGCTGTCCCTAGAGGCTGCGTGTTATGGGTGCCTGCCAGCCTGTC